CCGTCTGAAGCCTGTTAAAATGGGATGCAATCAATTTAGTCGCTTCAACACTTATTTTACAGATAACATATTCAAAAAATACAGGAGGAAATTGTCATTAGCAATAGAAAGCCTCACAGCAAGGCCTACAACTCGACATCACAAAATAGCTATACTTGTTGTTTTGGCAACATTCAGAGTTGCACCAAGGCCTATAAGCATGTGCAACTTGATTAATTAACATGTGAATACAACCTCTACCGAATTTATTACTCAAGATCGAGAATGAGTTTATAATGAAAATAACTTAAGATAGGCCCAAACTCCTACTAACTCTCTTTCAATTCTTGCATTCTACTTTAGAAATTTCCTTGTCTGTTATAAGGCTTCAAAAATTAGTTCTCCTCCACTTTCCTCCTTTGATGATATTTGGAGTAAACTGTGAATATATTACTTCAAACTATGGATAAAATTATCATAATAACTATATTCTTTATTTTCTAATGAACAGTCATACATGAACTTAAAGAAAGGAAAATAGGTTCAGAAAATTGACTGTACAGAAGCAGAGTGAAAAATACCTGAATAAATATTACCATCTTTTGACATACACATTACTCGCCAAGGGTCTAAGGCTTGTTAACTTATAAAAATAACTGAATAAAACGCGTCATTAGGGTCTAAGGCTTGTTAACTTATATACCCAACATCTCTCCCGTATTTTGTCGATGTAGAATTCGCCTAGGGTGTCACATCAGCAAACACCCAAGTGCACAATCCACTTCATACTTCTAGTCATTTTTTATACGTTAAATTTTCCATAAGACCCTTTTTATTTGTTTTTGCACTAATTAGTTGATAACAAAGATAAAATCCACAGAAGAGACATGATGAATGTACAAATCAGGTACGCTTTTCAAAATAATTAGAAATTAACTCATACACACCAAATTGTTATTTCTAATAACAATAAATCAACACCAGGGAAAACCCAATAAAAAAAATTAAAAGCGAGAGAACATAAATTAAGCAGAGAGAGAAGTAATTGACTATATGACTATGAAAAGTTTGACGAGAATCCAATAAAGACACGAAAAGAGAAGAAAAAGACTAATAAAAAAGAGTCTGAAAATTTGGGCAAAATTGAGAGAACAGCAGACCAAAAAGCAGAACAAGCCGAGAAGATGGGGCAAGTGCACATATAGCCATTTTCAGAGATGTTATTTAGTGACTAGTCATTAATAATTTTGTTCTGAAATTTTAAACTAAAAATTTTGACTTCAGGACAATTCACAACATTTTTATCCTGAAAATTTGAACTGAAAAACTAAAATTCAGGACGCAATAGTATGAAATTTTAAATAACAGCCTTTGGAGTGGCTACCTGCTATCATTTCTACTAGAAGATGGAAAAAAATGAAACAAATCTTATCCAAAGTTATAAAAAAAGAGAGGCAGGGTAATATAAATTAGAAGAAAGATCAATATATTAATTCGAGAAAGATAACTCTTTGAATGAAAACATTAGATGCTCAATATTTTTGATATTTTATCGCAACTGATTATAGAACTACAACTATGACAAACACTACTTCTGATGGAACTTAATTTTTTTTAAAAAAAACAAAAAACAAACTAAGGGATAGAAATAGGTATAGTGGGTTTTGAAGCACAATAAAATACACATTTGCAGGTTCGTACACCACGTTCATTAATTATACAAGTTCCTTCAATAACTGCACGTCCTGTTCCTTCCACACATTTTCGAAAGCATCCATCTCTTAGTCCTATTGTGCATATTTCAAATCCTATATCAACTCTGCATGTCTTGATTCCATAGACATCTGCATCCACAAAATTAAAATAAGTTTCTCATCTTTGAATGTCAAAAATGGAGAAAAATATAAAATAAAAAAAAGTTTAGTCATTTTGTGAATTAGCCGATATATAAGAATCGCCACACGAACAAATGATTAATGTGTTAGTTTTAACAAATGGTAGTTTCTAAGCGACTTAATGAAAATTATAGACATGCATCTAGTGGTCAGAGGTTACAATTTGAACCGTATAATAATATCATTTGATCCTATATTTTTTGGCTACTATAATAAAATGTTGTTATAAAGAATGACTGTTATAGAAATATTTGACTGTATATGATTTAAAATTCGGCTGCCTCCCGACCACTTGTTGGTTTATTGGATTCCAATCTCCATTATAACTATGTAAAAGAAATTGAGGATAAGAACATATTAGATCTAACAAAACTCTACTTTAGGTAAAAAGAAAAAATTTAATGTAAAAACCTGATACAACAGCAAAAAGGATGATTAGAATTGCCAGTGATCTCAAGGACTTTTCCATTTTCTATTTCTGATGAATGATAATTACAGTTTGCAAACTCCTCTTCAAAGGACTTCCTTTTATATACACAACAAACTTCTCTTTGTTGTGTACATATATATCAACTAATTAACCAGTGCATAATACTTTTACCATTAATCATTCTTACTTAAAGATTTGCTACTATATCATTGGAAAAAGTTTGAAAGTCATTAGATAGCTTTCCATGATAAATAGAGCAAAAGACTCTATATTAGGTATGAAATCTAAGTTTTCTAAAAATGACCTACTCAAGTGATACAGTAAAGTAAACCACCTTCTTGAAAATTGTAAAAGTTGCATTTTTTGTCCAATTTTGGGCTAGAAATAAGATTACTTCAAATATTTCAATTTAACAAGTGTTCCCTGATCATCTATATTTGTGGTTTAAGATTTTTACATAACATTAAGAAAACTACTTAATAGCAATAATATTTATACGGCAAAAACTTACTCGCACTAAGTGGTTACACCCGGCCATTAAACAATCAACACATGTCAATTTATCTAACTAGAGTTATTAGTAATTAACAATAGTTAACTAGTTTTGAGATATATTAAATATAATAATACTCTACTAAAATACTTAATATTTCCACATCTTCGTTATGCTAACAGTAACGTCAAATCGACAATACTTTCTTGTTTTTGTGCCACCAAGGTCATGGCCATCGTGTAAACACCCAATGCGAGTAAGTTTTTTCCCTTCCGAAGTGAGGAAATCGTCGCAGTTATGGCAAACTAATAATAAATGGAGGTCATTAATATAGGAAAATAAAATCACCAGAATATTTAATTTCACTTTTATTTTTCACACTCAAAAATGACAAAACTTAATAAGCAAAGCTATAATCATAAAACAAATCACCAGGATGTTTAATTTCACTCTCCATTTTTCACTCAGAAAATGACAAGCATAAAAAAAACTAAATACACAAAAATATAATCTTGGTACTCGTTACAAGTAACAAGTAGATCAAATAGATACTATTTGATGATCCATTTACATTATTTTCTGCCCAGTTATTCCATACCAAACATCTAGAATTTTAGTTGCACAAGTGACAAAAAAAAAGAAAACTGAAACTTTGTAAGAAGCATTCAAGTCTAAGTAAAGCTGAAAAACCATAACATTCTAACAACACAAATGTTTACCCGAAATATGGATAGAATTGAATTTATACGTGGTTCTAAGGATATGTGGTATAACTTGGTACAAATCAAAAAAATAAGTAGAAATATTATGTGGTATAACTTGGTACAAATCGGAAAAATAAGTAGATGTATATCGAATATTGACTGTAAAAAGAAATGAATACAAACCCAAATTGAGTAGAGAATGATTTATAAATGAACAAGATAAATCAATATCAGAAGCCCCAAAAAGGATAATATTTGCTAGATGCTATGTAAATCTCAATAATTTCTGAATATGAGAGTGTATGAATATATGAATGAATCTGTGAATGAATAAATTCCGTCCCCTTAATCAATGATAACCTACTCTTAATATAGTAGAGGAATCCTACTTTGGATATAATTAAAAATATATAGTGGTGATCCCATCATAGATTAATTAATTGGCTTTTCCTTGATTTCGATTCTCTCCCCAAATGCGATTATAACAGCTCTTTTGTCCCTTGGCTCGAGCCCGAACTCGGCCGCTCTCGATCGTGATCAGCCTCTATTCGCTCGACCTCTATCTGGGCTCGATCTCGATCTCGGCTGATTTCGGTCTCAATCGGTCTCTATTTGCTCGACCTCTATCTGGGCTCGATATCGATTTTGGTTGATCCCTACCTTGGTCGGTTTCTAGGGCTCGAACTCAGCAGCCCGACTTCACATCATAGCTCGATATGACAATGACGAACCTCGGTCCAATCATGCCCCAATCTTGATTAATCACACAAAGGGCAAACTCGGTTTTGACCGTATAAAACAATATTCACAAGCTAAATAAAAGTGGAAAGAGAAGAGTACTAAATAATTCGATTTTCAGTTTTTTCTGCTTCTAATACAAAACTCTTAATCAATCAAAAGTGTAGGGGTCGACTTGTTCAATTTTAGTAATTCTATATAAGCAGTTTTGATTTCGTATAAGCTACACTTCCTTCAAGTCTTCCCAAGTTTCCAAAAAAATGAAAAAAATAAGTAGGCATTTGCACATAAAAATTATGATTTTTGAAGAGAAAAAAATCATTAAACTAATATTAGAGGTTAAGCTGAAAAATGATAGTAACTGAAATTTGAAATTAAGAACATGAATTTCACTTGAAAAAATAGTGTAATTTTGTAATAGGAAATAAAAAGTTTACTTTACAAAATTCAACTCATCTTCAAAAAAATTTGAAACTCACTTTCAAAAATTCAGCTAAATATATAAGTAAACAATGATTTGAAAATATTTTTTCAAAAAAAGAAAAAAGAAAAATTAATATATGTCCATACGGTCTCTAAGGGCTCGTTTGGCATGATATAATTAATCACGGGATTAAATTTGAAATGAGTTTATACTATGTTTGGTTAAGATAAAAGCACAGTATAACTAATATCGGAATTAGTTATTATACCAGGGATTGTAGTATTTTGAGATAACTAATAACAGGATAATCAAGATAACTTTTATCCCAACCAAACAACATAAGTCTTCCCAAGTTTTAAAATTTCGATCAAGCTCTTCCCTGTAAAGAAATTTAAGCAATTCTGACATCGCATAAGCCAGGCCTAAGCTACGAATAGAGTATTAAGTAAATCAGACAAAAGAATATTGTGCAAATTGCTGTAAGCACACACTAGGTGTAAAATACAAAAAACTCCACGAGTTGATGCAGGTGTTTTCCTGCTATTGTATATAACTAAATTGATATTTTGTTCAATTTCAGAATTATTAAGGAAAGAGCATTACGTTGCGGATAAGGTCAGGAAAGGGTCAAGAATGGTACGCTCAATGGACATGTCTCTCTTGATAATATGGAGTAAGATTTTTCTTTTGCACCATTCTTCTCCGCTGACAAGGAAAGCCTCTTTGCTCTTCGAGTCACTAAGGTTTACGAATTCATCCTATGGTTGAGTTGAGGGGTTCTGCTTCTTGGTTTTTGCAGGACTTTGTTACTGTGGAATAAAGGTATGTATATGTACTGCTAATAGAGTTTTAGTATTGTATTTTTCCATATAGTTATTTGTGCTTCGGCCAATGACAGCTTTCGTCTCTCTATTCTTATGACCTGTGTCTGATTCCTTAGATAAAA